GGCGCAGCCCCGGCGCGGCCTCTGGGGCGTTCGGCTCCTGGGCTGCGGCGCCTCTGGGCAGGGGGTTGCCAGGGACCCGCCCCGCGCAAAGGTCGCCCCCCGCTGAGCCCTGGGCTGGCCGCCGCAGTGACCGCCCCGCGCGAACCCGGGAGCCTCCGAGGCCCTCCCCGCCCCTCCTCCTCGCCGCTGCCCCGCCCCTTCGCCCGGACCCATTTACACCTCGCCGGGCCCCGCGTGGTCCCCGGTGACCGTCGCACTTCCCAGCCTCAGTTTCCCCTTTTGTGAAAGGCTGTAACACACCACCTCGGGACGCTTTCACTGTGAAGCAGGAGACAGTGGGATTTGTTCTCCAATCCTCCTCCTGCAATTCTGCCTTCTTTGTCCTAAGACACTGGCGTCCCAACCTCGACCCGGATGGGGACCCTTTTTAACCCCCCACGTCCCCCAGACCCCCACTTCCACCCGAGGGTCAAGTGAGTGATGCCCGTATGCTCCGGCGCAAAATGCCCTTCAGCGAACCTGGAGTTTTCTTGATGTGGCCACGGACAAATTTATTTTTTAGGCAGCTGGCTGGTAAGGGGATCCAAACCCTTGACCTTGGTGGTGTAACACAGCTCTCTAACCAACTGAGCCAACCAGCCAGACCCACAAATTTAAACACATGCCCAGATGTGCAGCCTTTGACTGGGGGGCTCTCGACGCAAGCGGCCCTGGGTTGGGGTCCCTCACCCAGGGAGGAGAGTAGGAGCGAGGGGTTTTAAGGGAGGTGCTGAAATTAGAAGGTCTGGGCAGAGCCAGTTTGGCGGAGAGTTTGGGAACAGTGCTCCTGGCAGGGGCTGAGCAGTAGAAAACGGGGATGAGGCGTGGCCAGAGGAGAGGCTGGAAGGGGTGTGGTGGGGCTTGGAGGCAGCTTAGGTGGAGGGAGCAGCAGGAGGGTTCTGAACAGCTGGGAGGAGGCTAGGCAGAGTCTAGGGGCAGGTGCAGTGGAGGAAGGGAATTAGGAGGCCATCTGTCTCTGTCACCTCCTCCAACCAGCCCAGCATCCTGCCCATGTAGAGTACTTGTGGTTTCTGGAACAGCAAGGTGAGCAGTGCCCACCTGATACCCATCCAGGGGAGTGGGGCAGTCTAATCCCCCCAACCCCACCAGGACCTCTTCTCCATGCAGCCCCTCAGCCTTGTGCCAGCCAGGTTCCTGGTGTGCGTGAGCTGGGTCTCAAAAGGGTCTTCTGGTCACCAATCTGACTCAGCCTCCCTTCCCAGGTGCCTATCACCCCTGGGGTAAAGTTCAGGTTCCTCTGGGCTGACCTTCCCCAACTCCGGTGATGCCATCACCCCAGAGGCCTGTTTCCTATTTGCAAGACGTACCCTCTCATAGAGTTCTCACCTCTTAAAGCAGGTCCCAGTGTCCCCTCCTCCAAGCAGCCCTCCCTGCCACCCCTGCCCCACTCCTCCCTACACAGGGCCAGTGTGTCTGTCCAGCTGTCTAGGGGCCTGGCCTTGCGACCTGTGAACAGCATGCACTTGCCCACGCACACTGCATTTGGAAGCTTCCTCTTCCAACTCTACCCGTTTGGGGGTAAAGTCCATGCCCTGACTCTGGTCAGCTTCCAGGTCACCAAGAACTCAAGGGAGAGGTGATTTCAGTGGCGGGGTGCCTGGCACTAAGCCCCAGGGTCCCCATCTCTTGAATCTCTGGCTGTCCAGAGCTACACCCCTGTGCTCAGGGCCCTGGCCCACTGCCCTGTGGGCAGCCCCCATGTGTGGGCACCTGGACCAAGCCCACCAGTATCACCCCTTTGCCCTGCCTCAGGCACAGCATCCATGGAGGGGAGACAGGGTGGTTTTGTCACCATAGCCTCAGCTCTGCTGCCACCTGAGACATTCCTGGTCCCCAGACCCTGTTGAGACACACTCCCCAGGCTGCCCCCATGCTGGTCCTCTTGGTAGCATGCAGAGCCACAGCTGAACAAGACCAACTTCAGCCCTGGGCCCCAGCAGGCTGGCTGGCTGGGGATAGATCCTGCCCACCTGGTTCACGATGCTATTTGCTAAATGACTGTGTCCAGGTTGGCCCAAGAGCCTGACTCTAGCTCAAGTCGTTGGAGCCTGTGACGGGAGCCCCTAGCCCCCACAGGGGTTGGGCAGCACCTTATCGGGTGTGTGGGGGAGTAGGTGGTAGATTCCCAGGCCTTGATACTCCAAGCATAGCCTGCAGACCAGCAGAGCTGGTGGGAATGCAGATTCCCACCCTGCCCAATCTGCTGACCTGGCAGGTACAATAAAACACAATCCCCAGGTGGTCTCTGCAGCTTGGCCTGTGCCACCCTCCTGCCTCAAAACCTCCCACTCCAAGGCCCCCACTTCCAGGATGTGTCTGATGTATTAGCATGGTGCATCCAGCCATGCAGCTGTATTTCAAACGCATGAGCCCCAGGAACTCGTGTGTCCGTCACACTGGTGGAACCCGCCGTAGTCAGGGTAGCCTGGGCTGCAGCCATCACCAGCCATGGCTGGTTTCATGTGCTGGGCCCTACCAGCACCACCTGCCAGGGAGGTGAGAGTCACAGGTATGCCCCAGAGCCACCAGCCCCACAGGTCTAAGGAAGGGTGGATATGCCTGGAGATCCATCTCTAACCTCCTGCAGCACAATGCTAAGTTGGAAGTTCCTCAACAACCCTCTGGCCCAGGCATGGCCAGGTCTGCAGACAAATTTGGCCACAGCTGAGCTGGGACCAAGCTGAGCAGGGACCCATGGACAGACAAGGGGCCAGATGGTGCTCCAGGACCCCTTGGGTGCTGGGGAGCCTCTGAGATGGCACCCTGCCTCCACCTGTCCAACCTAGGCTCACTGCTGAGGAACAGGAGGGGTTCCTGGCGATGGCAGGATCAGGCTGCTGTGTCAGGTGAGCACTGGGACTTTAATACACGGCACGACACTAGCAACAATGGGAGGGGCGGGCAGAAATGCAGCCCAGAACATTCCACAGTCCGGGATCCATCAGAGAAGGTACGCTTGCGTGCTTCTCCAGGATACTCAGTAGTAAGGCCGTCTGGGGTTGTTCTGTGGGAGGCAAAAGAGGTCAAAAGGGGAGAGGGTTGATGTCTCCAGTCCAGAACCTTCAAGAGACAGCTGAGCTCACAGCCTGCAGATGGCAAGTTAGGCGTTGAGGATGGGAGGAGGAGAGTCCTGGCCTAGCTGGACTGGGAAGGACCCTCCTGTTACCACCACCACCACCCCCTTCTGAGACATCAGGGCACCCAGCCAGAAGCAACTGGGAGCAATGAAGCACGCACCAGGGGGTTTGGCCGGAAGCGGTAGGCCAGCATCATCCTCTTGCGGAAGGCCTCATACTCGTCATCTTCCTTGGACAACTCAGCTGGCCGGTCAATGCCAAAGCCAGCACCGTCCACCGTGGTGGTGCCCCTGCAGGGAGGCAACAGGATGGGGTGAGCAGGGGCCAGGCTGGTGCCATTGGGAAGGGGGAGGCAGGGCCTGAATTCTGGGCAGGGAGGTCCAGCCTGGATGGGCCCGGCGGCAGCACCTTCAGGAGCTTGAGGTGGGGGACATCTGAGTGGGGACACCCCGCACTGTGAGAGGAGGAGGAGCCCAAGGGGGTCCAGCCCCAGGGTCCTGCACCAGAAAGAAGAGCCCCCAGTGCAGGTTATCACAGCTCCAGGGATGGCAGGAAGCTACTCAAGGACAGCACCTGTCAGGGGCCAGCCAGCAGGCCCCAAGAGGCCTGACCCATGGGTATGTACACATGCACACCTGGCCAGGGGAGACTCGGGAAAGGAAGGAGCCCCAGGGCTGGGGAGGCCCACGCCTGTACAAACCCCTGCACCACTTGCTTGTTTTTGTAAAGCGTGTGCGATGCACAGCTGTAATCATTTCACCAAAGAGAAAAGCTATGACGTACCAGGGTGAGGGTGGGGAGGCAGGAGGGGAACCCCTGACCCCCAGAGTTCACGGCTCC